TTGTTCTTTACACTCCCCCGTGACATAAAACAGCAGCTGCCTGATAAATAATGCCAAGCCCTGGCTAAACTTCTGAGCTTGGCTTCTCTGGAGGTAATAAAGAAGCCGGAGCTTTGATCTGTGCTCTGGCTAGCTATACGCTTAGCTCTGCAAGTCGGGGCACACGCCAAGGCCCAGCCATTGACAGGGTGTCTAAAGCACAACCTCTCAGCTGAATCCGGTTCTTCCACATTGCACAAAGCATGCCGCCGTGCAAGGAACCAGTTGTGCAGCGGTGGCACGGATGCGTCAGAGCAGATCCTTTCCCAGCTGCAAGGACGCCACGTAAAACCACGTGCCTGCCTAGGTTTAATACCCAAGCACAAATAATGGAAGGAGATTGCAGAGGAGACCAACAGCTGATCCTGCTGGAGCCCTCACCTTCACCTCTTTATGCTTCTGAGGCAGCTGGCCAAACAAGGATGGGGGCAAAGTCTCCTCTGGGCAGCTTGCGCCCTCTCCCCCAAAGCAGCGTTGCTAATACCCTCCTTCCCGGGAGTGACAGCTGAGCACTGAGGCTGCAGTGAGGCTCCCTTCCCAGGGGCGCTGCTACCTCTGCAGATCGGGTGCAGAGACAACCCCCAAGTGTTACAGGGGAGCTTGTGAGATTTGTGGGTTCGTCCATGTTTTGTGGGAGTGGCTTGTTTTCCCTTCTCTCATTATCACGTTTAAATGATCAGCTCCTCTTTGGGGCAAGGCTTCTCTGTTGTTTCTATAGTGCCAAGCTCAGTGGGGTCCTGGGCCATGACTGGGGCACCTAGGTGCTACCGTAATACCCCTAATAGCACTGAAACATGCAGCACCTTGCACAATGGCTGCCTGCTTTAGGACTGGGGTGACCAGCCACAACTGCAGGGCAAAGGCTGAATGGTGCCTGTTTATCCAGAAGGCTCATTCGCAGAGCTGGCTGAAGTTTCATTCCAAATGCTTTTTTGCCCCCCAGCGTCGTTGTGGGAATGGACGCTTCCATCATCCATGGGGGGTTTTGTACTGGGCTTTTTTTGGAAAACTGACAGTAGAAAAAAAAATTGGGTTGGGATTGAATAAAAACTTTCCAACTTGTTATTAGCGAGAATAACCGCCTGCTTCACATGGACAGGTTACTTTCTTCTTAGGTGGCTTCTCCATTCCTGGAGGTTTGCAACCATGGTAGCCCATTCTGCAGGATCCTCTGCTCATCTCTTGGTGGATGAATAGGCCTTTAGGTCCACCCAGGATACCACATCAGCTGTCCAATGCCGTTTTCTGCCTCCTGTTCTTCTGCCATCAGCTTTTCCTTCCAGTGCCCAATAACATGCATCGTCCACTCACCCTCTTAAAATGGGCCCCGTCATGCACATTGAATCTTTCTTTTCCATAAAATCTCCGACTACTGGTTACTGAGTTCCAATCCACCCCAATAGTTTTTCGCTGGACAGTTTATTCCAAAAAGATGTAAAGGGAAATTTTATCAAGGCTTAGTTGAGATTTTCAGACCCTAGTCCTGTATTGGCAACATACATCAGAAGGCAGCCAACTGATCAGCACATAGAATATGAGGGTTGGAAGGGACCTCAGGAGGTCATCTAGTCCAACCCCTGGCTCAAAGCAGGACCAATCCCCAGTTTTTGCCCCAGATCCCTAAATGGCCCCCTCAAGGATTGAACTCACAAGCCTGGGTTTAGCAGGCCAATGCTCAAACCGCTGAGCTACCCCTCCCCTCACAGACCATTGCTTAAATAAGAATGGTAGGCATTTCACAGTGTATTAAAGCCAACTTTAAAAGGTTTAATCTTTAACTATCTTAAAAAAACAACGACAAAAAACAAGAAGCACATTGTCATGCTGTGTAGCACGTGAGAAATTCACATTGCACCATGTTCTTCAAGCACAGTGCAGGTAGCTTTGAGCCTTCACATCGCCTCTTAAAATCAGACAGCTTTAAGGGCTACATGCAGCCTGCAGTATATTCTGCCTAGTCTGGACAGGTGTTTTGGGTTAGCAAGCACAGATGCCTTTCAAAACACAAGGTGGCTTTTTGCCTTGACAATAGAAGGAGCCTTCTGGAGCCCAAGACCCAAGTAATCAGGAACACTGGTTAGCAAATACACCTCTACCCACATATAACGCGACCCAATATAACACGAATTTGGATAGAACCCAGGAAAGCAGCGCTCTGGGGGGCGAGGCAGCGTGCGCTGGTGGATCAGTGCGTCTGGCTCAGACACGCTGCTCTCAGCGGTGTGTTAAGGGTGCCAGGCCAGGGCCGAGGGGTTGAATAAGGGGCAGAGGGTCTCGGGGGGCGGTCAGGGGACAGGGTGGGTTGGATGGTTCAGAGGTTCTGGGGCGGTCAGGGGAAGGGGGTATTGGATAGAGCGTGGGAGTCCCAGGGGGCCTGTTAGGGGGCGAGGGTGTGGATAGGGGTCGGGGCAGCCAGGGGACAGGGAGCAGGGGGGTTGGGGGTGATTAGGGATGGGGGGGCGTCTCTGGAGGGGGCAGTCAGGGGACAAGGAGCAAGGGGGCTTAAATGGGGGTAGGGTCTTGGGGGGGTCTCTGGAGAGGGTAGTCGGGGGTTCTGAGGTGTCAGTCAGGGGGCGGGAAGTGACTATTAATAATGGAAATGCTCGAGGCCAAAGCAAGTTCAATATAACACGTTTCAGAGTAACAGCCGTGTTAGTCTGTATTCGCAAAAAGGAGTACTTGTGGCACCTTAGAGACTAACCAATTTATTGAGCATAAGCTTTCGTGAGCTCCAGTTCACTTCATCGGATGCATGCAGTGGAAAATACAGTGGGGAGATTTTATATACACAGAGAACATGAAACAATGGGTGTTACCATACACACTAACAAGAGTGATCAGGTAAGGTGAGCTATTACCAGCAGAAGAAAAGAAAAAAACCCTTTTGTGGTGATAATCAAGGTGGGCCATTTCCAGCAGTTGACAAGAATGTGTGAGGAACAGTAGGGGGGGAAATAAACATGGGGAAATAGTTTATGCCTAGGTAGTGGCCCATTAATTGCATCCTTCTCACTTTAACATGCTTCCAACAGACTGTCTGTAGAATCTACAGGTTTCAGAGTAACAGCCGTGTTAGTCTGTATTCGCAAAAAGAAAAGGAGTACTTGTGGCACCTTAGAGACTAACCAATTTATTTGAGCATGAGCTTTCGTGAGCTACAGCTCACTTCATCGGATGCATACCGTGGAAACTGCAGCAGACTTTATATATACACAGAGAATATGAAACAATACCTCCTCCCACCCCACTGTCCTGCTGGTAATAGCTTATCTAGATATCTAGATATTGTCTAGATATTGTCAACTGCTGGAAATGGCCCACCTTGATTATCACCACAAAAGGGTTTTTTTCTTTTCTTCTCTCCTGCTGGTAATAGCTCACCTTACCTGATCACTCTTGTTAGTGTGTATGGTAACACCCATTGTTTCATGTTCTCTGTGTATATAAAATCTCCCCACTGTATTTTCCACTGCATGCATCCGATGAAGTGAACTGGAGCTCACGAAAGCTTATGCTCAAATAAATTGGTTAGTCTCTAAGGTGCCACAAGTACTCCAATATAACACGGTTTCACCTATAAAGCGCTAAGATTTTTTGGCTCCCGAGGACCGCGTTATATCGGGGCAGAGGTGTAATTGAGAATCTTTCATTTATTCAGGCTGAACTGGTTTAGGATTTCAATGCAACAGCAAATGCTGTTCTTACCCACTCCACTGCCCATTGCTGGGATCCCATTCTATTACGTGACCCAGGCTGGGTTAGTACTGAAGTGGGAGACATAGAAAATTCAAGATGCCGGAGGACACATTCGCAATTCAGTTACATACGTACATTGTAAGTCCCCTGAGGCAGGGACTGTCTTTTTGTCCTGTGTTTGTACAGCACCTAGCACAAATAATGAAATGGGGCTCTCACCTCCAAGAGCGTCCTGAGCCGGTGCTGTAGCTTAGGGATGGGAGGCGCTGCGGCTGCAGTCGGTTTCTTGGGTGACAAGACAAACAGAATCTGACCCCTTGTCATCACTGAAGATCCCATGCCAATTGTTGCAAGAGTTCCGGCATCCAACCCAAATACCCATCCTCACCTGCCTCAATCCCCTTGTCATTTCTTGCGTTGTTTTCCACTTCCTGCCCTGGAGCAGATGTAGCAGTGTTGCTGCCTGCTAACAGCAGCCACACGTTCCACTCCAGAGCTAGGTGCATTTTGGTAGCTGGTGAGGAGAGCCTTCAAGAGTCTGCCTGATGTCACGGGATCCATCAGAACAAAAGGCACCATTACAACATAAGGTGTTAAGGCAAAGGCTTTGTTCAACCATCCATGTGAATTGTGTGGGCCTGGTTTAGAAATGTGCAAGGAGGGCGTGTAATGTCAGGGAACGTGAGCCAACGATGCACAGCCACTCCTGTCTTATACAAGAGCGGCCCATTCTCCTGGGAGATGTTGTTAATAATATACCTAGGCATGCTACACCTTTAGCAGTTTGCATTTACTGTCTCTCCCCTCAGCCTTCCAGAGATGTGCCAGGTGCTGTATCATCTAGTTAGATATGTATTGGTGAGAGAGATGCTACAAGCTGCGGGACAGGTCTCAGATTACTCTGCAGTCAGCAGTACCTAGTAGCTAGGTTAACAGTGTTGTAGACAAGTATTATTCTTGTTTTACAGATGGAGAAACTGAGTCACAAAGATAGTGGACTTGTCTCACAGCCATGGGTGTGAGAATTGAAATTAGAACCCAGGAGTTCTGGGCTCTCAGTCCTATGCCCAAAATATGCATGACAATTTATCTACCTCCCAGGGGAGGTTGTGAGTCTTAGTTCACATTGACCTGAAAAGCTCTAGAGAAGCACAAAGCATTAGTGCTACAGGACTGACAAGGGGATTAATGGAGGGGCGGGCAGGGGAAATGTATTTCCACCGTACAGCATTTATCAAAAAAGATCACATTCGTCTGGAAACTGCTCTGATTTAAACCTTTTAATAACATTAATTATTTTCCTCCTGGACGTATATCAGACTTTTACACAGGCGTGAAATGTTTTACTTAAAAAAAAAACAAAAACAAAAAAAGGCAGAAATAAAAAAAGAAATAAAATTCACACATTTTGGGAAGTGCCTCGAGCCGAGCATCAAGAGGAATACACGGGTCCTTTCCTAGCCAGCAGTTCTGACTCCCGATTCCCAGTCCAAGCAGCTGCTGGCTTGGGTTCCTTGCTGGAGGTGGGCAAGTGAGGCAAAGATCTGGAGTGGCTGCTTGGATGCTGGCTAAGCACGTAGCTCCCTGCTGCCATGGCCCCGGGAAGACTCTGGCATCTCGGCGGGTCTCCCATACCTGGAGGTTGCTTGGGGTGGCAGTAGGCAGGCGAGCTCTTGTCGGGAGTGACGGACGTGGAGCGGAAGAAGGGCGCAGGGGCCATCAGGTTGTTGTGGAGGAAGAGAATGACCCCACATGCGTTTGGTCCGAGCAGGGCCTGGCTGAAAGCAGCATTCAAGTGCCCTAGGTTCGCCAGCCCCAGGGGCGGGTTGCAGATGGGCGAGGTGTGCATCCAGGTTAAGTTCATGGCAGACCAGTCGGCCAGAAAGCAGGCCTGCTCCCTCCACACCGCGCTGGCTTTGCCGTTAGCTGCGGCCGGGTCCGTGAGGTGCAGCTTCTCCACGGCGGGCCTTTGGGCGGAGTCTTCGCTGGGCACCGCGGGCTTTCCTTCATGGCTGTCCACTGCTGAAGGCTTGGGATGGGACTGCTGGAGGAGAGGGGAGAGAGGGGGGCACCTTAGGCTGGGACAGCGTCGACTTTCAAGAGCCTCGGCTGCTACAGCCAATATGGCCGACCTGCCAGAGCTCCCAGCAAGGCCGACAGATGTGGCAAGAGCAGGCCAGGAGGAACCCACAGCTCCCATGGGGAGATCAGACAGACCTCTCAGCAACACGTGGCCCTCACTGACACCAGGCAAGCCCCTATAGGACCCACGTCACCCATGTCCCAAGTGCGGCATGTACCACAGAAGTTCCTCCCCACTAGCCAGCATCCTGCCTGCCACAGACCCAGCTCCGTCTCCCTTCTGCTGGACTAAAGCTTTTACATGCTGCAGTTCTACTAGTAATTCCACCTCCCTTCCAAGGGACAGCTACCTCCACCCTGCCAAACAGCACATCGCTCGGACAAGGACAGGCCTAGAGGAGCCTCATCCGTGGGCCTTTAATCCATATACAGATGGAAGAGATTGGATAGTCCTGTTACCCAGCAAGGAAGCGCCCTTACCTTAGCTAGCTTGCATGCATGCTCTGCTGGTTTGGAATCAGGACAGGAACTGTTCAAGGCGACATGAGGGAACCAAACTTTCAGCATCATTTCTACCTGCAGCAGGGTGCCCAAGTATCGCTCCCTGCAAGATGAGAAAAGAAACAGGAGGTTCCTCTCAAGCCAGGAGAGATCATTGTGCATCGTTTTACCCTGCTGAGCCCAGAGGGATCGGTCACAGCCTGGCGCCTCGCACGGGTATCACACAAGTAACATGAGACAGAAGAGATAGTCAGGCTCCCGCACCAAGGAGACTGCCCTGTTATTCCGTACGGCTGCCTCTCTTTCAGAGAGAGAGAGAGAGAGAGAGAAAGAGGCCTCCAAAACAGGCCAAGTTCCCCCAACAAAAAGATGGGCCTCAACTTTTAAGATCTGGGCTTTGAATTTCAAGTTACAGAATAGCAGAAACTCAGTACTTTGACGCTCCCCTCCCCTTTGCCCAAAAGGAACGTCTCCCTCCCTCCCCAGAGCTTCTCTCTGCAACAGGATTAGAGATTTCAGCGAAGCAAAGGGACAAGGGTAGCAAGTAATTTGTGGCTTCAACGTGCACCAGGACTTGGCTCGATTTGAAGCCCAGGGGCATTTCCTAGGCTGCGTGCGGCGGGGCAATCCAGCACTACCAGTCATGGGTGATTGCTGCCAGTGGGGGAATCAAACGCCAGGAGTTGCAGAGTGATATGAATCCAGCTGTTTCTCTACTGATGCCCAAGGCAGACCTCAGCCCCGGGGATGTTTAACCTGGGGTGCCTGTGAGTCAAACTGTAAGCGAGCTGGGGTACCGACACTCTCAATGCAGCAGCCCAGGAGTTCAGTGGGAAGTTTGCTGATTCTGGAAACACTGGACAGAGTCTGTGCACTGTCTGGCTCCCCCTCCTGCAGCCAGTCGCACACCAACCTCTGCTGAGCTGTTATAATGATTTCGTGGAGGAGATGCTTACCCCATTTCTGGCTTTTGCAGGACTCCAACTATCCTCTGAATCCTGTCCATGGCCACACTCCGCTGGAAGCTGCTTAAACCTGGTGGGGGGGAGAAACACACCAAGGCCCAGCTATTAGTTTACAGACAAACCGAGCCAACTTTACTGCGCTAGGGAGCCTGGAGAGAAAGCAGTGGCTTGGGAAGCCAGCGCCAGGCTGATTCAGCCTCCACACTGTTCAGACTGATTACCCAGGGGAGATTATGGAGAGATCACGCCAATTACATGCAACATGGACAGACGCAAGAACCTAGCCCTCAGATTAGCTGGAGGAAAAGGCCAGCACAATGCGGGGAGGAGGGAGGGTTTGAGACACTCATGTCTTTGCCCTCCCACTGCAGATACAGTGAATTGCAGCCTCTGCTCCTTGCAGCGGGGGCTGTCGTACTAGGAGAAATCACCCCCGTAATGCAGCCAGCATGGGAAAGGCTTGTATGCTGGAGAAGTAGGTGCCCCCGGGGCTCTATTAGCACCATGTGATGACTTTCTGAAGGGCAGGTATCACGCCTCACCAGCTGCCTTCTTGCACGTTATTCCGAGCCATAATCATTTCTTCACAGCCAAGAGCGGGCGTGACACAAGCAGGCAGCGAGACACGTGTCTGGCTGATGGAAACTTGCACGCACAGAGACACGTGTAAACAGCACGCTGAGAGAGAAAGGAGAGCAGGCTCACAGGGCCGACGGGGCGCGTCAATGAAAGACTTCTCTTTCATATTTCCAACAGCGTGTTATCAGGGCAGGAAAGCAGCGCTACAAAGAGCAAGCAGCTCCCTGGGAATTTCTCAGCTCACGCTGCGATCAATACAGCTCACAATGGCCTTCTTTACTAGGCAATTTAGCACAGTCAACCAAGGGGCAGAAATTAAGATCAGGGCTCAAGAGAGAGCTATAAACAGAAAGAAGGAATTTAGGGAAGAATATCTTGTAAGGGGAATAAGCTAGTGCCAAATGACTACACATTAGACCACATCTGGCACTACAATTTTTTTCAGGAGCAGAGGAATGAGGGGAAAACAAAGAATGTTGGGTACCTAACACACAAGTCTCTTAAGTACCGAGCAATGGTAAAGCACCCTTATCTAGTATCCTAGAACGTACAGGATCTCAGAGCTGTGACACCCACTAGATCCTCAAATCCCTTCCCATTCCAGGGCAGGGCAACCTCCTGCTAGCAGATTAATCAGATTAATACGTAAACACAACAAGTGATTGAGCCATAGGGCCAACATGATGAAATAGCAGCCCCACGCTAGGAAAAAGAAGTCAGAGGGATTGTGCCAGATCCTCAGCACAGATCTGCTGACTTCAGCGGAGTGACATTGATTTATACCAGCCGGGGATCTGGCCCATTTTCTCAACGGCATTCAGGCTGAAAGATCCTGACTACTTACGTAGCGCTTTACAAGCATCAATGAAGGGCCAGATTCTGAATGCCACTCCAGCAAAAGGCCCGGAGATGGCCACTGGCCTCTGATTTAGGAATCAGAAGGGGGAGAGAGGGGAAATAATTCCCTGCAGTTTAATAGCCACGTGGCGGCGTCAGACCCCTCTGGTGAGGGACAAGCATGAGGAACGGCATTTACCTCGCTCATAGCGACCTTTCTTCAGCCCATTCAGAAGCTCCGTGAGAGGCCTGATGAAGCCTTGGAGTTCCCGGCACTGCAGAGAAGGAGCACAAAAAGTGAGCCAGCCCGTCTGGGACAATCCCCCTTCTGGGCTTCCTCCAACCCATCCGCACAAGCCTCTCCCCAGCGCATCCCTAGGGCTGGTTTTGCATCTAATGCAGGACCCCTGTGCAGCTTTGCTGGGCAGCAAGGTGTGAATACAACGAGGTGGGCTCTAAAGCACTCGCTTTAATCCCCAGTAATCCACTTATTTCATGACCCTCCCCAGACTGTAAGCTTCTGGGAGCAGAGACAGTCTTTGTTCTGGGTCTGCACAGCACTTAGCACCACAGGGCCCTGGTCCACGACTGGGGCTCCTACACATTGCTGCAGTATGAATACTTAACGCCACTAATCCTGAAGGGCTCATGGTGCTAATGCAAGTGACCCCAAGAATTCCAATTCCCATCCCTTCACCATTACGACGAAGCTGACCACTCGTTTTCCTTCCCCATGCTAGTCCTCCCTCACTGCCCTCAATTTTTTCCAGTCCATAGGGTGCCCAGCTCACATCTCAGTCTGCACTGGCCACAGCACATGGGAAACTGAGGCACGATCACCCTGACACTAATAACGCAGACAGCTAGATGTCCAGCAGGCTCACACCATGTATTCCACCCACCAGATTCAGCGTCTACAGTGCCTTGGCTATTTGGTGGGATCAAAGGTGCAAAGAGGGTGAGGCTTTGCCAATGGCATTGGTGCATCAAGCCGGCAGGTGAGGAATCCCAGCCTGGATCAGGCCTCCTGTCCCATTTGATCGCACACTTCACCCCTTCCCAAGTAACTCCCTCCCTGCTGACACCCGCTTCCCTGGATATTCTCATAGACTCACCTTCTGGGCAAACAACCGGTCGCCGTCGGTCAAGGGCAACGTCGGAGCTTCCCTCATCTCCGTTTCCCCATTCCTTTGCCTTTTCATCCCGTGGGCAGCGGGCTTTTCAGCATACTCGGGGTATTCCCTCTCCCCTGCAGGATGGATCAGACGCTTCCGTCCGCTCTCCACCCTCTTCTGGCTCAGAGTCCTCCCGGCCAGGCTGCCATCCCCATCCATCAAACAAGCGTAGGCCGAGGGGTATCTGCCTTCCAACGCCCTGGGAAACCGGCCGCACTGACTCGAAGGCCGTTGCCTAGCAGAGCTCTGCAAAGTGGGTTTCACTGTCCTGCATTTGCAGTCCCGGCCCGGCAGGCTGGGGCTAGTCCATGCCGACTTGGGAGAAAAGAGAATCCTTTCCCCTCCGGAGTGGGTGTCCTTCTCCACCTCGCTCTCGCTGTCCGACAGGAAGACGCCGAAGTCGTAACACTTGTCCTCTTCGTCGCTGGCAGCACTGTCGACCGAATACAGAGACTCGCAGGACGACATGCTGTTGGGGGACTCCATGACTGCGGGAACCTGTCAGGGACCAAAAACGGGCAAACAAATGAAGACGCTGCCAGTAACAGCAACAAAGGATGCCTTAGAGATCCTACCGTTTGCCTCCCGGGCATCCCCAGACCCAAGAGCCCAGGGTCTCTTAGCACGGCTGCTGACCCGCGTTTATAAAAGGAGGCTTTAGAATAATTTCTTCGAGGACAGCTAAAAATCAAGGTCTCCTCTGGTTTACTGGGGGGAGGTGACTGAACACAAAGGGGTAAAGACAACGGGAGCCAAATGGACCCTGTGCAGTTGAAGTTCCTGGATAGAGCTTGCCAGCAGAAGCTGTTCCAGATGCGACCAATCTGTTCCCATCAGCGGCTGCACTGCGACAAGGCACCCATTGGGTTTCATTGTCAGGGGCAGCCGAAGGGTCCACAGAGCAGCCCTGCAGCGGGTGGGTGCACAAGTCAGCTCCCAGACACTTGATGGGAGCGGGAGGAGGAGTGACATGCATGGAGCCTGAACTAGTGAGTGGGGGAGGGTGTAAAGTTTACAACGACAGGCTTCCCTTGCCGCCATCGGTGGCATTACTCCATGCAGAAGCATTACAGGATACGGACAACAAAATATCCTAGCAACCTCATTGCCACGGACACAGGGAGTTTCAAAATCAGTTGGGAAAAAGCTACGTTTCCTGCCTGGTTTTACAGCACAGTCTGCTAAATATTAAGAAGGGGAAACACAATTCTTATGTGTATTAAGGCAGCACTAGGAACCCTACTCAGGGATCAGGACCTTCCCCACTGGGGAAGGGAGAGGGGTTGCTTCCACTTGGACAAACAGAAACATATAACTTGGCGTTTCATTTTCTGGCTCACATGTACAGGTGCTGCAAGGTTTGGTTTGCAAACACAGCAGGGGAAAGGTTTCAAACAAAACAAAAACTGGCATTAAATACACACACACACACACAAATCCATGGGGACATTCTTATCAGTCTTAGTTTCTTAGTAAGATCTCTTTTCTGCAGAACCTAAATTGACCCGTTAAACCACTTCTGTGGTGCATCGAGAAAATGTTTATGCAGCGAAAATGTTAGCAACCTCAGGGTACAAAAGTGACCACTAACAACGTAATACTAGAGTGGTATTAGTCCGTGTCCTTTCGATTTGGACTGGTATAAAATGAACAGCTCATAAGTCAATATACTAAATACAAGTGCCCACCAGACAGGAAACAAGTGAATTAAAAAAAAATCAGAGAATGTTGGAGCTGTGCAATGCAAGAGTTTGACCCGGCAGGTAAAATAAGCAGAGGACAAACTACACATCTAAACGACAGAAGGTTTCTCCAATACATTAAGAGATAAGAGCAGGGTGTGCCAGTCTGATTAGAAAGGGACTGTCTGGCTGACTCAATGCAGTCAGCACCTACGGCCTCTGTAACAGAGCACTGGTCCCAGCTACTGGGTGACATCGGATCATAAACTTAGGGAAGGCAGGGCTCCAGCCTTCCCATCACTGCAGGCAGACAAAAAATCTGTAACCCCTTCCTCCATGGCGAGGCAGACAAAGATGAGAAGCTTCTACACTTTATTCTCCTGCTCTGTTTTAGACAGATGCCAACTGCCAACTCACAGCAGCTACCCCGCTGCCAGCCAAACGGCTGGCGAGAAATCCACAAGCCCCAAATGAGAAATGTGGCCTTTCACCCGTAAATTGGCCAACAGAGAGTAGCAGGCAGGGAGAAATCCTGGAGAGGCTGTTCTAAGGGCATGCTTCATAGAGCCAATGTCACAAAACAGACACAAGCGGCTTCCACCCCCAAAGATCCCAAACCACACACAAGATGCGCAGCATCGCTAAGTTCCCTGCCATCCTGCACCCACTTCCTAGGAGCAGAAGGGATCAACACACTCACCACCCCCACCTGCCTTTCCACACATGGCACGCCCTGCGCACACACACACACAGGTGGGATTTTTGGTATACACAGGTCTTGTTGTTTTTTAGGTCTAGCCCAACGCACCGACACAGGTAGCCCTCCGGGACTCGATAAATGGATGTGTCCACCTTGCTGGGAACTGAACCCGCCTGGGTGTTTCCTGGCTTTGCTACAGAACGTGCCCTTCTCCCTATACCCCATGTCTCTTCCCAAAGTAGTCATCCCCTGGTGCCACGCGCCAGCCCTGGCAGCACCCCTGCTTCGAGGAAACCAGTTACGCTGGTGCTACAAGACCCAGCAGCCCCCTCCAGTCCCTTTGCTAAAGAAACCAACCTGCTATACTTGGAACTCAGTAGGAGATCTCCTTCCTCCCCAGCAAACGTCCTTCCACTAAACCCGCCCAGGGTCACCACCCTGAGAACCTGAGTCCTTCCTCCTTCCCTTCACCCAGTACAGGATCCGGAGCCTAGCCAGCACCTTGCCTGCAACGCAGCCAGCCGCCACCGCACGTTGCTGACCTAGATTAAACACGCATCCGCGCCTCGACACCAAGAGTCGTGCTGTCTGGATGGCTGCTGCAATCAGGGACAGGGCTGTCCCCATTCCATGCGACACAATGAGCCATGCACACTGGTCGAATTCTCTCACACACAGCCCCGGCCTCCCCTTCGGAAAGCAGGCACACTCTCTCCCTGGCCCTTCCCTCTCCAACACCGCCCCCCCCCCCCGCATGCCCCTCCTGCCATTCACGCACTAACCCCAGCGCACACACTATTCACATGTTACACACTCAAGTCATTGCCATTCACACCCTGCCCCTCCATGCCATTCATACACACGCAGCCCTTGCATCCCTGATGCAGAGCCCCCTGCATGCACACCCTCCATATCCCACCTCCCTTCCACTCAGGTCACCACCGTTCAGACACGGGGCAGATTAATCCCTTCCCTACCCCGTTGCGCTAAACCCCTTGCATGCTCCCAGGGGTCAGGTTTCCTCCCGGGATTGGTGAGGAGCCACAATGCTGGCCCTCGGGATCTGGACTGGACTCCTCTGTGCCCGGGGACAATGCTGGGATCCAGACACTCTACAGAAAAGCGCGGGGGGGGGGGGGAGAAGGAGGTGTCTGGATCCTCACATTCTGGTAGGAAAAGAGAATCCTCCCGGGGGGTGCACACACGGGGGGGGACGACGGACCGATCCTCCAAAGGGCGCAGGGTCCTTTCACCTGATCCTGGCTGGGGGGACGGAGGGGAGGGGTCCGGGTCCAGCGGGTTCCAGGCTGGGTGGAGAAAGACCCTGGACTCAATCCCTGATGCCGGCAGGTCACAGGCCAGGGCTGGGGGGGCGCGATCCCTTATGCCAGTAGGTCACAGGCTGGGGGAGGGGCCCTGGATCCGATCCCTGACGCCAACAGGTCACAGGCTGAGGGGGTGGAGGGAGGAGCCCGATCCCTGATGCCGGCGGGCCCCAGGCTGGAGGGGGCGGAGAGGGGGGGCTCCCGATCCCCGATGCCGGCGGGCCCCAGGCTGGAGGGGGCGGAGAGGGGGGCTCCCGATCCCCGATGCCGGCGGGCCCCAGGCTGGAGGGGGCGGAGAGGGAGGGCCCCGATCCCCACGGGTCCCAGGCTGGAGGGGGCGGAGAGGGAGGGCCCCGATCCCCGATGCCGGCGGGTCCCAGGCTGGAGGGGGCGGAGAGGGAGGGCCCCGATCCCCGATGCCGGCGGGTCCCAGGCTGGAGGGGGCGGAGAGGGAGGGCCCCGATCCCCGATGCCGGCGGGTCCCAGGCTGGAGGGGGCGGAGAGGGAGGGCCCCGATCCCCGATGCCGGCGGGTCCCAGGCTGGAGGGGGCGGAGAGGAGGGCCCCGATCCCCGATGCCGGCGGGTCCCAGGCTGGAGGGGGCGGAGAGGGAGGGCCCCGATCCCCGATGCCGGCGGGTCCCAGGCTGGAGGGGGCGGAGAGGGAGGGCCCCGATCCCCGATGCCGGCGGGTCCCAGGCTGGAGGGGGCGGAGAGGGAGGGCCCCGATCCCCGATGCCGGCGGGTCCCAGGCTGGAGGGGGCGGAGAAGGGGGGCCCCGATCCCCGATGCCGGCGGGTCCCAGGCTGGAAGGGGCGGAGAGGGGGGCCCCGATCCCCGATGCCGGCGGGTCCCAGGCTCGGGCGGGGGAAGGGGGGCCCCGATCCCCGATGCCGGCGGGTCCCAGGCTCGGGCGGGGGAAGGGGGGCCCCGATCCCCGATGCCGGGGGTCCCAGGCTCGGGCGGGGGAAGGGGGCCCCGATCCCCGAGGGTCCCAGGCTCGGGCGGGAGAAGAGGGTCCGGTCCCCGCGGGTCCCAGGCTCGGGCGGGGGAAGGGGGGCCCCGATCCCCGAGGGTCCCAGGCTCGGGCGGGGGAAGGGGGTCCCGGTCCCCGCGGGTCCCAGGCTCGGGCGGGGGAAGGGGGGCCCCGATCCCCGAGGGTCCCAGGCTCGGGCGGGGGAAGGGGGTCCCGGTCCCCGCGGGTCCCAGGCTGGTGTCCGCCCCGCAGTCCGGCTCCCAACTCCCTGCCCGGCCCCCTGGATCCCAGCGAACCTCCAGCTCCTCACCTGATCCCGTTCCCCACTCCGCTCCCTCTGCTCTGTCCCAGGGCGGCTCCGGCTCGGCTCCGCTCCACACCCAACCCGTCCCCGTCCCCGTCCGCGTCCCCAGCCTGGCGCCCGGTCCCCGCCCCCGGCTCAGTGCGGGCGCCACGCGGCCACGTGCGGCCCGGCACGTGCCTCCCTCCGGGCCCCGCCCGCCCCGCTCCCATTGGCTCCCCGAGCCCACCCCCGGGGCGCGGGCCACCGCCCTACAGCCACGCCCCCTGCCCCTAATTGGGGCTCGGCGGCTCCCCTGCAGCCCAATGCCGGGGCAGCGCTGAACCGATTGGCCGGGAGGGTGGGGCTCGAGGCCACGCCCCTACATGTGGCTGCGGGAGCTGGACGCAGGGGCCCGGGGGCGGGGCAATGGAGAAGGACACGCCCCCTTGTGTCGGCCTGCCGCATCGAAGGGGGCCGGGAAGGAGGGGGGGAAATGTGATGGGGGTTTCCGTAGAGGGCAATGGGGCAGAGATAGGGGACCCATAGAGGGCAGTGGGGCAGAGGAGGGGGACCCGGTGAAGGCAGAGGAGGAGTCCATAGGGGCTTGGGGGAAGAGAAAGGGCAGGACTGGAGGTCCACAGGGGGTTAGGGGGCAGAGGAGGTGGGGGAGGGGCTCAGAAGAGGAAACAGCTGGAGGACATAGAAAGGAGCGAGGCTGGAAGGACTGGGGAGACGCGGGGGGCGCTGCAATCCCCAGCAGGGATAGGAGTGGCTTATGGCTGGGGAAACACAGTCAGTGGAAAGGCCAGGGGACACTGCAGGGAAGCAAGAGAAATGGGATGGGAGAAGTTGGTGGGTAGGCACAGGTGGGAGGGAGATGGGGAGGGGGTATGGCAGGGTATGTACACAGCACAAGGGGCTGCTAAGGGGACAGCAGCAGGGACAGGGAGCATGAGGGGAAGGAGGCAGGTGGATGGGGGAAGAGAAGGGTAGAAAGGAAGAGAGCAAAAGAGATGGGGGAGGAGAGGGGTGGGAGCTGTGGAGAGGAACTGGGAGCTGGTTGCGGTGTTTAGATGCTGCTTGTAATTATTAGAACTGGGAGCACTGGCTGTTGGGAGTCTGAAAGGACAGGAAACAGGAAGGGGGGGGAGTTGAGGAGGTGGAGTGAGAGCTACCCAGGGTGCAGCAGCAGTTTGGTAAAGAGGTTTCCACTTCAAAAATAAAGTCCTGTTGAAGTTCGTTAGTACCTTGCCTGGTTGCTACAACACTGGTGAAGGCTTAACTTGCCCTGCAGCTGCCTCAGCCCCGTTCCCTGGGCCCGAGCCAGACACAGGGACCTATTTGCCTCAAAAGATGACGCTTCCCAAAGCCTCTTTGGTCTGATGGCTTTTTTTAAATAAAAAATTACTCCTCTTGTACTTCTGCTGAGGTTGCGTGGGAAAGGTGGGTGCTGGCCAGGAGCCCAGCTCTGTCCCGCTCGCAGCTCCAGCTCCGCGAGGGGCTGGGCGCTGCAGACACTATTGTCCTGGTAATGGGTCAGTAGGAATAAAGGGCACACAGCACTGCAACGGCTGGAGCCCTTAGTGCCCCAAAGCAGCAGTTTGTCTCTCTACGTCAAAGCCCTTAAGCGCACACTTTAGTCCCCTTGACTTCAGAGGACAGTTAAAGGTAACATACATGCTTAAATGCTTTGCTGAATTAAGGCCTTAATGAGCATAACAAACCTTACTGTTGCATGCATGCTCATGACCTCCAGTGTCATGCCACTGTGACTGCATGCAGGGGCATATAGCCAACTTGTTTATGGCCCTGGGATGTGGCAAAAGCATCAGCAAAGTGGCTTTTGTTTTAAAGTGCTGTTATATGCTGTGGGGTGGCTGAGGTCTATTATTCTATGTTCCCTGCTGCTGACATCAGTATCAGTGGTGCACATAATGTAAAGGTGCTCTGTGATCTGTCACTGCCGATCTGTTCCCCCTGTACAGGCTGGGATATTCAGCACTTACTAAGCTGGCCTAAATGTGCTATACCATGCTGTAGGGAATGATCCTGCATTGGAAGGGAGATAGTGCGTCCAGTTCCAACAGGCCTGTTCCCTCTCTGGGGTGAATTCCTGTTTGTGTTACCATCCAGTAATTTGTAATCAATTACTCAGTCCTTACTTTACAGAGGGAGAAACTGAGCCAAAGAGTCAGGAAGTGACTTGCATCTCACCTCACAGTGAGTCAGTGGCAGATCTGGGAATAGAACCCAGGTGTCCTGCTTCTAGTCTCATTGATCTAAAAACCAGACCTCACTTTCCTCCAGAGCTGGGAAGTAGAAGATGCCTGATGCTGTTAGGCCCTGATCCTGAGTGGATCCCTTGGCTGTTGCTGTATTATGAATGATTAATAATAAGCAGAATCCTGAAGTCCTGCATCTCAGTCAGTTTACAGTCCCTTAGTGACCAATGTAACAGCTCTCCAGCACTCAACCATAATTGGAAGGGGGAATTCATTTGTGTTTTGTAACTATCTTTAATTAAAGAACAATTCTAATAGGAAAATGGCTGTTTTTTCTCTCTGCACTGCGGATGGAAGTCCTTGTTTGATATTTATAAAACTGAAATGCATGCCTAAGTACAATGCTGGGAATTCTTGGGCCAGATTCACTCTAGGGTGAATCTACTCACTTCTGTGGATTTACACCATGGATGAATTTGATGCTTTGATTAGTATGCATGCAGCCTCTTTGGAATAAGATTTATTCTCTGATTATTATTCTCTGTAAGTGTTTTAAATAGTCTACTATGTTTATCCAATGCAGACAAGAGTGTCAGCCTTGTTTAGGTCCTCAACAGAGATTTGCTTATGGAAACCAAAAAAAAAAGCGTGAGAAAGATATATGCTACAAAACTGAACATGAACAGAGATGTCGCTGTGATTTATTCAATGAGAGCTTGGTTCATTCCATGCTTCCCGGCCAGTGATGGCAGCCTTGTGCATTAGAGCCCAGCACTGAACCTGACTGCAAACAAAAAGTGGTATTGACCAGCCTACCTTTCCTGTCCAAAATGAGTGAAATGCAAACAGGAAACCAACCTCATCAGTGCTGAAAACAAGCCGGATTTTCTTTCACCACTCTCTTAAGAATCTAAGATGGAGTCAGTAATAACACAGGCAAGGGTCTGATTCTGCTCCCCAGGGCACAGGTGTACATGAAGAACTTCATCCACTCCTATGTATATTACATCAGAGGAAAGCCAGTATGAATGAGGTTAAAATCTGAAACATTCACAATTCTTCTGTTACCTCGACAGCACCCCCGAAAACAAAACTGATTAAAATTAAAAGAAAAATAACAAATTAGAAAAGCTTTTCCATCTGTCTGATTTGATTTCTCTCTCACCCCCTCACCATATGAATCTATCCATCCATCCATCCACATTCACACCCTTCTGTCTATCTATTAATCCATCGCCATACATACCCATCTATCTATCTAGATATCTTTCATACTGTGCCTATCACTGCTCAAATAAATTGGTTAGTCTCTAAGGTGCCACAAGTACTCCTTTTCTTTTTGCAAATACAGACTAATATGGCTGTTACTCTGGTATCTGGTGCTGCTTATGTCTTTCTCCTGAGCATCTTGTAGGGCTGTGCAGAATCTAGCTGAGTTGACAAGTTTCAGAGTAACAGCCATATTAGTCTGTATTCGCAAAAAGAAAAGGAGTACTTGTGGCACCTTAGAGACTAACCAATTTATTTGAGCATAAGCTTTCGTGAGCTACAGCTCACTTCATTGGATGCATACTGTG